TTTTTTGCCTTGAACAAAACATATTTTTTGTAAGAATATAGCCTCGGGGCTCGACACGAGAAACTGGAACTTTTTGGTACGAAATCCCTACAATTTTCCAAGATTTTCACAAATTTTTCTCTGACTTTTCAGAATCTTTCGCCATTTTTGAGATTGTATTTCGAATCAAAAAGGGGGATACAAAATCATAGACCAACAAGGGCTTGAAAGACAAAAGACAAATTTGTATGAGCCTGTGCAACCAGTAAAAATAGAACACTCGCGCGTAAACTTGCCTTGGGGCGCGCTTCACGATTGGAGCACGATTGCGCCACCGTCGAAAGTTTTTTATGGTCTATAAAAAACGTAGAGGAAAGACTGTGACATTTTTCGATTGCAGGACACAAATGTGCTCGGTTTCAAAGGTCCACGTAGAATGCATATTCTCATACCTGGAATCTATGATATCAACACATATGAACGCAAGTCGATTCGTCCCGTAGCGGTAAGTTCTACAGTTGGCAAAAGCGTTTTTGAAAAATGAGAACATCTTTTAAAAATCAATTCAGGCGAAGGATACACTGTTAGAGAGGTACCGTCAACGTCGAACAGATGATATTATTGTAATGCAAAATAAGAGTCCTGTATGGAATGAAGGTAAGCAACTGGTAGATTATCAGTAGGCAGGTCGATCGAAATGTTAGAGAATGTTTGAAAAAACAGAGTAGAACGCTTACAAGACTTGTTTGAGAAGAAAGGAAATAAACAGAGGTAAAACATAAATCGGAATGTTTTTGTTTAGATAATTTATAAAATATCGAAGCCCAGAACATTACATAAACCTCTTATATGATATTACAAAAATAAAGAAGCAAAATGCATGAATAATTCGTTGCACGCAGAGGCTGAACGGCGTTACGTCAGACTAAGAGAGTGCATGTTGTGGAGAGACAGCAGACAGTTAGAGGAATGAAAGCGCGTCTAGTCTGAGAGATGCCGATCTCCGCAGTGGCGTACTGTCTCTGCGTGCGATGAATCGACTATAGAATGTATTCTGACAAAGACTATTTTTACGATTTTTGCAAATGCTTTCTATGATATATTTCAGACTCACAATCGTATGTCTTGAATTTTCATGGACGTGTTACACAAGCATCGGTGAAGAACTTCCAAATCATACATGATCACGATCGTACGTTATTTTTCTCAAAATTTTCGTGAATTTTTGATAAAAATTTTATTTTGCAGCTGACTACATCGTCATGCAGTTCGGACGAATATCAGACGAATGTTTTTCCATGGATTTTCGCTATCCACTAAGCGCTTTGCAGGCTTTCGGAATCGCCATGACGAGTTTCCACGGAAAACTCGCTTGTGAATAAAGTCACGACATTGTCACGACATTTCACAACATTTCCGTGGCTACAGTACTACCGGTCTGGCATCGTCATCATACCCCCCCCCCCT